CCCCTGACGTGTTAATTATATGTTTGTTATGGGGAAAAAAGGCTACTCAATGAATACGTAATTAAAAGTCATATTCTTGCTTTCTGTGTGAATTTCAGCTGTGATATAAAAGCCAAACACATACCCTCAAGTTAAGAACATTTATTATTTTCTGCCACTCGAGGAATCAGATCCAACAGAGTAGTTCCCAAGGCACCGAAGTGTAATGAAGAAACCTCTTTCCTCTGCACCATTCCCTGTTCTTTCTTATGTGGCCTGATGCTGAGAGGTAATGGGCCCTTAGCATCACAGCAAGAGCCGCTTCTTACTGTATACCTACTATGTGCCAAGGGATATTCTAGGTACCTTTCAGACATGTTCTCTTTTACTCCTCAAAAATGCCCTCTAAGGTAGTAATTGTCACCATGTTTGAAAGTTGGGAAGAATGGGACTCAGGGAGATTGTAAACATTGCCCCAAGTGACACAAGTCGTAAGTGGGGGAAAACAGATCACCTTCAGCCTTTAGACGCAGCCCAGGATTGTTGCCATATACCACATGACTGCATGCGGGGACTGGAATAAATGATGTGATTAGATCACCCTGTTGTCTGCCTTCAGTAGGATTCTGAGGGAACAACTCTAGACATGAAATCTAGGGCAATTCTCATGAGAAGATATAAGTGATCTCATGGGATTCCTTTGCCTGTCTCCACTGTTCCCTGACATTGCCCAAGGAGACCACCTCTCAGTGGTTTTTGTAACTGACTCTAGGTGTACCTCTTCCTTCACTATGCTTTGCTGCTTCAAATAGCACTACCCAGATTTCCTTGAGAAAAGTCAAGTCCAGACACTCATCTGTCATTTTTCACATCTCATATTATGTGTTTAGAATGTGATACGGTACACAGGAATGCACGCCACGTCTTACAAAAGCAGATTCAAGTTTAACATCCAGAAAAAATTACGCTGTTTAAAATCTTGGGTTTGAAATCCACACAATTGTTTCCCTTTACCCCTAGGACAAGGTACCAATTCATTTCCTGGCTCATGAGTCTCTGACCTGTGTCTCTTACTTCCCCAACCTTCAACTGTAGAACTTCTTTTAATTCCTTGTTAACATTGTATATGATGGCTCTTTCTTTAAGCCTTTGCATATGCTATTTCTCTGTTCAGAAAACTCTTTGTCTCCACACCCTAAAGTCTTTTTTCCCACCCAATTCCATCAAGCTTATTCCTCTTCAAAACTCAAATTCGAGTTCAAATAGCCCTTCTTCTAGGTGGTCTTACTTTATCCTCTAAATTAAATTAGGCTGCCTCTGTCTGCTCCCATAGTAGTCTATAATTTTCTTATCATTATGCTCATCTTTCTCCTGTGTGCATGTTTGTTAGACTGTCTCTTTTTCATAATTGATAATGATCTCTGTAGGGCAGGACCACGAGTATATCTTTAGCACCTTGCACTATGTCTGATACTTACTAGGCACCCGATTAATATTTGTCAATTTTACAAATAAACAAGATTCAGAAATCATCACATTTAAATTACCCATGGGAATTTTGAGAAACGAGACGGCGAGTAAGGGCTGCTTTTGATAGAAAATAATTTTCCAATCAAGAGATTTCCACTTCTGTTCATAAAAACAGATACAGGAAAAGCTGTAATCTGAGATTTGCTAGAAGGACTCTGTGGTCCCAAGTAGGTCCCCTACAACTGCTCCCATTTTGCTAACATTTTCTTAGGGACTATATTATTAAATTCTCTCTAACCATGGCCCCTGGCTGGAAACACGGTCTATCAGTCAAGTTCACCAGACTTGGGCAGAAATGTTGAAAGAGATGTGGAAAGTTTTCTTGGGAAATTCCCTCCACTCCAGCATTTCACCTGGATCCCAGGCACAGCTGGGGATGGAAGTCTTAGGATCAATATATTTTTTTCCCTGATGAAGAAGAAGTGATGTTCTGAATTATTGTCTTCCTTCAGACATGTCACTGTGAAAAAGTGACGCGATAAGTCCTCAGGGTGTTATTTACTCAATAAAACTGTCTTATAGTTTTAGATTTCCCCTTTTGCTATAACTTCTTATTTCTCTTTTCTAAGAATTCCTTATTCAAATCGTGCTCAGTTCCTTGGGAAATCTATTGTGGATTTTATTTATACCCAAGACAGATCATAAGGTAAATATATATTATGCAACCTACTTAAAATTAGTGAGGTTCTTAAATGTTTCTATTCAGAGAGCATTTACTCATCTTACTGATAGGTTTTCTTGCATTATCCAGGAGAGTATGTGGACTCTAGAAATACATCAAGAAAACATACATTATGCTGGTATACAACTTGGAGGCACTGTCTAAACAATTCAGATTTTAATTACAGAGCACAGTTTAATATTAGTTACAGATAATAGAGTTTTAAAAATCTCTTTTTCAGTGAGCCCAACATGAGAAGTTTATCATCCATCCCTTTATTCATCCACCTACCACCCACCTACATGTCCTTCTATTAGTATTTATTGAGGAATTAAAACTAATTTGGGCTAACTATTGTCATTACTATTATAGGTTTAAAAATGTAAGAGCCTTCTTTTTCTACTATTTCTTCTATTAAGAACTTATAGACTGGCAGAGGAGAAAATACATTAATGACAT